TTCGGCAAACATTTCGGCATTGCTAAATTTTTTATATGAAACCCTTCAAAATAACTATATTATATGATGTATTTTGAGAAAGGAGTTCGAAAAATTTCGGCAATAATTTCAGCAAATATGAAAATTAATTTCGGCTGCCTAAATGCCGTAATTACTTTTTTATTAAGATGGGCAATTTAGGCACCCATGTATACATTGGGCCACTGTTTCGGCAGTGAACGTCCTTCTCAGTTGTCAATGACCCCGTCCGTTTGCGTTGCCCGGGGTTTAATGATGAATAAGATACAAGTTGGCACCAACCACGTATGACGATGAAATATATACTCATTAAATTATTTTTTAGAGCGAGTGGTGATGGAGGTCGAGATATTATTGAAGAAATGCATGGGTACAGATTCGTGATTCAATGTAAAGCATGGTATAAAAAGTGTATAGGTATGATTACTTATTATGATCTCTTATTATATAAAAAATGTTATTAATTTTTGATCGGTTTAGGTCGAGAAGAAATTGATACGTTTTTGACAGAAGTTCAGAGAGGAAAATTTGATTTTGGAATTCTTGTTGGGGCCTTAGAAAAAAGATAGCATTAGGGCATATAATGCGGCTGAAGGGTCAGAAGGCGATATGAACTAAATATATTTTTACCAATTTACTTAACTACAAATCTATTTTATTCTATTAACATGCACTAAAAATTATTAGACTACAAATAATCTACTTCTTATGTATCTTATAGAACTTCTATAAAACTTTATTTTAAAGTAATAATTTCAACCAACTATTTCATGTGATACAAGTTAACCGTGAATTATTGTTATCTTGTATACTAGAATGTGTCGAGATATTAAGAGGTTGATCGCTGGTCGATTAACTGAACAAATCGCACATTAGAAAATAGAATTAGATTTTTTATAATAAATTATAATTTAATGTTTTATTCATTCTCCATAACATTTATAATTCTACATTATGTATTATTATTTTATAGATATTTACAATTACGATAATAACGCATTCTGACTTCTCATCCGTTGTATTTTAGATTTTTTACTTCTCTATCTTTTTTTTACCTAGTCTTTTTTCTTTCCACATTATAAATTTCCATAATTTATTACTATGAAAATCTTCGAATAATGATAATATTTTTAAATTTATTTATAACGCCCTAATTATAGGGAATCGATCCGTAATCCGACCATCTGAATTGATCCTTAAATATAGATAAATTTAAATATCCAGATCAGAGATTTTTATTCGGATTTGTCAAAGAACTTAAATAACGGACATAAGGGTGTTCTCAAAGCTAGCTTTATATCTAATCTGACACGGATTCAATCCGGATTTAATAGAATCCGGATGGCCTGTCAAAGATAGGATCGAATCCCTACCTAATTGGATGTTAAAATAATATATACTGCAGTACTGTCGCGGCTAAAGCTGTAAATGGCTGTAAATTAGGGATCTTGATTTAAAAATATAAACCCTACCAAAATCCACTTATACTCTTTTATTATTAAAATCACCCCTAAACCCTAACCTAACCCTAAAAAAAACCCCTAACAAAAGGCCAAAAAATTTTTGTATTACGTAAAATAATTAAAATTTCCAGCATCAGCCGCGACAATATCTATATGCATCTCTCACATGGTTAAACATTAAAAGATTAACGAGTGGGATATTAACAGATTAACTACAATTCTTCCGAATTCGTATCAAACATTTACGTACCCCTCATTTACTCGCATTTCATCAATATCCAATCAATTGTTTGCATTCCTTTTCAAGCTAAAACTAAGATGGTAAATTTTAAATCAAGGACCAACAGATTTACATACAGATACATCCTACGTACAGTACGTACGTACGTATGTACGTATGTACATAGGCGAAGAAAACATGTGAAAATAATTATTCCATCGCATTAATAATCTAATGATTCTTTCTCGACAGATTCTATTATCGTTAAAAAAAGTACAGTAGAAATAATTATATAGACAAAATTACGACTTTCCTTAAGAATCACTTTAATTACTTTTTGATCAATAAGTAATAAAATTATGTCATCAGCACCTTGGAAATCGATCTTAAAATCCTTAATATCGGAGAATATTAAAAATTTGAAAAGCAGTACACCGATATTACCAATGCAGGTGCGCTAATTTAACGAGGATTGCTTTATTAATTATTACATAAATTAATTTTTTTTGGTTAAATTCCACAAATAAAAATTTTTTTTTTAAAATAAAAATTTTTTTATAGTTTTCAACATATGATACATTAACATGTAGACCAACAAATCGTAGTGTGATGTTTCGTGGATTTTTAGGAGAAAGAAAAGATGAAATTCGTAAAAATGAAATAATAAATTATTTAAATTCTATATCATCAGAAGCTAATTTGAAAGAATTAAATCCAGAAATTGAAACAGATTTATTAGTTATAACTACAGATATTAGATCGGCTAAAGTAAACCATTTGTTGGAGAATTCTGGATTTGAAATTTGTTGGTAAGCAATAAATTATTATTATTAAATTAGTATATATTTATTAATATTTGAAATTAATTAAAAAAGATCAAATTTTTTTAATATTTGTTTAATAGGTGGTTTCCAGTAACCACTGACCAATTCAGATTATCAGGAAACGCATATATATTACCATCACCAATAAACCCAATTATTGCACATTTTCCATCAGACATGTTGCTTTCTCCGTATTCTTTTTCCGTTGATTCAATATCTCTAATTGAACATTTTGATTGGGAACAAGAACGAAAAAAACATTGGTATGAAACTTCCTCTGATTTACGCGCTACTTTTTTAGAGCCTCAACCAACGCAAGAAAATGAAATATCCAATGTGGTACGAGAACTTGATCCAATAGGTAAAACTATGGAAGAGAAATTGTTAGTCAAGAAAGCATTAGAAAACTTTGCAATTGTGGTGATGAAAGTTGATTATATTGATCATCTTAAATTATCACCTACTCCTATTCAAACTATTTGGAAATTTCAGAAAAGTGATGATGGTTTAAATAAAGAGGAATGGATTAAAAAGGTTGTTCCTCGATAATTTAAAGTTACTATACTGTATATCTTTATTAACTTAAACAATCTTTATACCATTTTTTCAATAAATAACATCTATATAAATTATGTGCAAACGCTTTCTTTTGTTAATATATAATATTTAAATATATCGGATTACATTATACACATTATACACATGAAAAGAAATGTCAAAAAAATGTCAATTATTATGCATCTGTTCTCCATAATTCTGAAATTATTTCATGCTGCATTAATTCACAGTAAATATATTAAATTTGTTGTAGATTATAAGCCATCTTTTATAAACTCGGTAATTCTACTGAACAAAAAAAAACAAAAGTTAAAAAACGTAGGGAATTTATTACTATGAATACTCCTAAAGAAAAATAGGGTTTAAAAACTATTCCGAGCTCAATTTGAGATCTTAGAAGACGAACACTGAAAATTTGATTTATATGTTTCTGGCGCTATTATAATCTCATCACCAAGTTCATATTCTTCTGTATTTTCTAAAGGTATTTTGCTAAAAACTAGGCAAATATGGTCTTACTGTTTTAACTTTAATTATTTGTTAACTTATTTATTAATTTTTTAACAAAAATTTTAAGACATACCACTATTATTTAATACTGCATTAAATATTTTTAATAGTAATTTTGCTAATATACTGTATATTTAAAAGTAAAAAATTAAGGTAAAGATTAGGTATTAGGTTAAAAGTTAGAAGTAAAACTAAAATTAAAAAAAATTTAAAATATCAAATAATTCTGCTTAGAACAGAAATAGTAAATGACAATAACTCAAATGACAAATGACTAGTTGTTGGTTTACCTCTCTCATTTTTACCTCTCTTTATTTACCTCTCTCTCAAAAGGCTCTTTCATATTCATGCTATGCTGTTTGAATATTCAAATCAAGATTTAGTCTTCTTTGGGCTAGAATCGCTATCTGCTTTTAGCGAAAAAATGCATGTAAAAGGAAGTGATAGTATCACAAATTTGAAAGCATTTTGTATAGTAGACTATTGATCTCTATTCTTGATCTCTATTCTAGATCTAGATCTTGATCTTAATCTTGATCTTTATCCTAGCGCTCTATTTACACTTTGCTACGAACAGCTGTCATATTTATAAAATTTGTTTCTCAGCTAATTATTACTAAATATGCTATCATGCAACAGTTTTTTCACTATTGCAAAGTGATAGTAGATCACGTGATCAAAAAGAGAAGCAGCCACACGACGCCTTGGCCCCCAGCCTCAGAATGCCTGCGCATGTGAAGAATCAATAAGCGTGAGAAATTCACATGCGAGCATGAACGACATATGTTAATGACATATTGCTTGGTGCAAACCAAGAAGAAACAGGAATGGGCGCTAAAAATAATCAAATAAATATAAGAACCAAAGAATGACTAAAGCTGGTTGATCTATGATAGAACTGAAAAATTCTCGCAAAGCATGGATGAACCTAATGAAGCACTAAACATTAATTCCTAGACAAAAGCATACATCGATGATACATATCAGAAGGCTATATCAACACTATTCGACAAAGTAAAAGAACTGCTAAACCAGCAGAGAGAAAGTCAACAACAATAAAATGAGCAACTGCAGAGGACAATAGAAAATTGTTTCAACAAGCTTGAACAAGCCAATTGGGCCAGTACAGAAAAACAACCTGGTGAAAATCAACTATCTGAAGAGAACCAAACATCCCTAGCAACCATAAACTCAACAGAAACACAGGAATTTCCAACACAAGGTAATTACCCACTTACTCCAATTTTTAATGATATAATTGCAAACATGATACCAATGGAAGTGGTAGATGAAAGAAGTAATGAGCAATGTCATAATGGAAATCCGAACCAATCAAATAAACAACCAATGGTTAAAAGCGAAAGCCAAAGGTTCCCAACAATTGACTATAAGTCAATCAAGTACCTAATGTTAGTACAAGGCTTTAATAATCTTATAGCAGCCGAAACAGAAAGTAGAAGGCTTTGGTGGATGCAAAATTGGAATGAAGAGCAAAAGACAATCGAGATGTTGGCATGTAAACTAAATCTCACATCAAAAATGTGGAAGTCAATTGCATTCGGTTTCTATGTAGATTTACAAGAATTTGCCTATAAGAATATAAAGGCTAGTATAAAATATCTACATGATGATACATCGTTACAATTATCTGATGGGGGCTATATTTCAATTCAAAAATGGAATACATACAACAAGTTTCATGACATATCCGAATGGATATTGGCATTCAGATTATATATGGAAGCCGTCTTGATTTTATATGACAATAGAGAGAAAGAATTAAATTATTACTGTGACCATATTAGCACTTTATATACAAAATATGAGTTCACAGCAGTAATATCATATGATGAAGATCGCCAACTAGAATTAGCAACAAATCGCGATTCAATATTATTTGATCGGAGTATAATTGCAGAAGGCAATAACTTTGATATCACAACAACTAAGAGGCAAAGAAGTAACAAGCCACGCCCAAATAGAGCAGAAATGGCATAGCATGACGGCAAAGAAATATGTATCAATTGGAATCGAAGATACTGTCATGAGGATAAGAAATGTGGCTGAGTTTATGCATGTCTATCTTGCAAGAAGTTAGAACACACTGAACGTAGATGCTATTCAAATAATTTGGGATCTAACCCGGCCACAAGACAAACCAATCAAAATGATAATTAAAAAAAAAAAAAAAAAAGAATAAAAAAAAAAAGAGCATTAACGATTTAATAACAAATTTATATAGTCAATAGGTATAGATTAATCTTTCACCACGAAGCTCAATTTAAACTATTACGACATATAACAACAAATGATCCTCCAGCTCTCCAATCAGTTAACGAAACACTGTCAAGCATACCTCCATGAAATTTACCATTTTCAGTTGAGAAAATTGCACAATTGAACTCTAAATACTTTAATGTAAAAACAACTATAGATATTCAGGCCTTTCAAATACTCACAAAAAAATATCCAAACTGACCTTTTATTGAATACTTAATAAATGGTATCACAAATGGCTTTAGATTCAATTTTACTGGGAAACGAATAAAAAGAATTCAGAAAAATTTAAAATTGATTAGCTTAGATTCATCAGCACTATGTAGCTATATCCAAGATGAAATAATCAAAGGTTGTATTTGTGGACCATTCTCTAAGACAAATCTACCTTGTGATCTTTATCAAGTCAACCCTTGTAGCTTGGTTGAAAAGAAAGACACAAATTCAAAGATATACAGAGTTATATCTTACCTGTCTGCTCTATTTGGATATAGTGTTAATGATGGAATTGATGGTGTAGAATTTGCTACAAAATATGAAAATGTGACTTATACGATAAGATGGATAAACGTATATGGTAAAAACTGTAAACTTTCTAAAATTGATATCAAGGATGCATACTGAATTTTATCTGTACATCCGATCGACCAGATATTACAGGGTATGAGTTACGAAGAAGAAATTTACTTTGACAAGGCATTAGCTTTTGGAAATAAAGCCTCTGGTGGGATTTTCTGCAGGTTTGCAGACGCAATTATATGGATAGCTACGCAACAAGGTGTCAAGTTAATAATTCACTATGTGGATGATTTCTTAATAATTTCAAATTCAGATGAGAAAAAAGAGCTATCCCAGTTTCTACGCATACTAGACTTAATAAAAGTACCATACAAAGAATCGAAGCTAGAGGGGCCTAGCACAGAACTAACATTTTTAGGCATACTAATAAATACAGAGACAATGTCAGTCTCAATCCCACAACAAAAGAAACAAAAAATAAAAGATCTGTTAGCAGATTGGTCTACTAGAAGATGGTGCTATACGAAAGATCTCCAATCCCTGGTAGGATCTTTAATGTGGTTGTGCCAGGTGGTGCCCCAAGAAAGACCGTTTATTCAACGCTTTATAAAAGCACAAGAATTATCAAGAGACCCTAAACATCATATCAGGTTAACTAAACCAATGCTAGCTGATATTCGCTGGTGGTCTAGAATTATAATACGATGGCCTGGAACCCAGTTAATGGAAGACCAAAAATGGCAATTGCCAAATCTAAGTAATCTATACACTGATGCTTCAAATATTGGAGGTGAAGCAACATTCGAGAACTATTTTACTGCATTTTCAATGGCACAATAATATAATAACAATGTACCATAATATTCAAGAATGGGAAATGATAACAACTTTAATAGCTATCTGCACATTTGCTCCTCTATGCACTCGGAAGAGACTTATAATATGGATGGACAACTTGGCAAATGCAGAAGTATTTTATTCTGGGTTTTGTAAAAATGAGAGAATTAACAATATTATTGCCCACATGTACGAAATACAAATTCAGAAGAATTTCTCAATAAAGATAGAACATATAGCGGGCAAATTAAATATAGAGGCAGATCTACTTTCTAGAGGCAGACATAAAGAATTTTTGACCAAAAGACCTCTAGCAAGATACCTCCAACCCAGCATCCCAACAGAATATACTAACATGATATCCATTATCCCTTCTTTAATGCAATAGAACAGCTAAATACAAAAGGCAATGAACAAAAGAGAATAAGATGGTCCTTGACGAATAACACATATAGTACCCAACAAAATGAAGCATCTCAATGGCACAGCTATCAGACCCCACTGGATGAACAAGCAGCAAACATTTTAAAGATAAACCCCCAAAACACAGAACCTATGAAGCTGTAGTAAAGAGGTACCAACTGCTAGCTACGGAACACAATTGGAAAAATGAACATGGTCAAATATGGCCTATATCAAAAGAATTGTTGATAAAATTCATTACAACAATTCAGAAGAAGATATTCCCTCCAATGATCAAGTCATATTTATCTGCACTGAAAAACCACTATACAATGCATGCACATGATTGGTCACCAGTGAGAAAAGACCCACTAATAAAACAAATTCTAAAAACTATTGAAGCAAATCACCATCATAAATCAGTAAAGCAAAAAATGCATATTACTAGAACCCACCTAGAATGCATAAGGAAAAAATTAAACCCGAAGCAAGCTGACGACTTACTGTTCTGGGTAATAGCTGTAACTGCATTTTATGGATTAGCATGCCTTAGAGAACTCATCCCAAGCAGCAAATCAGATGAAAGCAAGGTATCTACTCTAAAAGCACTAAAATTCGAAAAAATTGGTATAGCAATATTCGCAACAATCCAATTAGCCAGAAATAAGAACTATAAATCGGCAAACAGAGTGTCTCTGGTAATAAATCCAATGAAAGACAATCTGTGCCCCATTAAAGCTCTCAAAGTATATGTTATTCATCGCACCAATGCATTTTACGTGACAGGGAATGAACTATTGTTTACCAGAACCAACAGCTCCTGGTTTACCAGAAAGTGGTTCTGTAATAAGCTCAAATCAATTTTACCTAACTCCAATGTTGCAGGACACAGCTTTAGAGCTGGCGAAACAACTGAATTAGTGTTATGAGGAGTACAACCTATTATGATACAAAAAATAGGCTGCTGGGACTCAGAAGCGTTCTATAGATATGTTTGAGCTCACCCAACAATGATAGCACACATCCTTATTAAGGCATATTCACAATAAAATGAAAAAACAAATAAATGAACAGCAACGATAACAAGCACAAGGCATAACACAAAGTAACAATATTAACCAATCAAGCATATACCCGGGGATGGAGATCTTCCCCAACGTGTACAAGTGTTAAAAAAAAAATAACAGTAATAATAACAATGAACAAAATGGTAAGAATAATAAAGGAATAAACTAACTAATAAATAAATACATATTATGTTTAGACCTTACAAACATCTTCAAAACTTTGGCATTAGCTTGGTCTAACCACAACATACATTAAACAATAATAATAATAATAATAATAATAATAAAACCACAATAACAATAATAGAATCATAAACCTTTGGAACACATGATTCTATTATCTCTTTGCTCAGCCGGCTCGCTGCGGTGAGCAGGAAACTACCGGCTGCTCTCATGGCAACCCAGTGCAATCTCGATTGCTATTTCACGGGTGGTCATTGTTGTTCTGGCCAAATTGGCCAACTACTCACTTTGCTATTCATGTATTCTGCTAACTTTTCAATAATAAATCATCCTGGCCTAAAATTTTGCCGGCATAGTCCAAATGAATACACATATGTTGTGTAATGTGATTCTTTTCATGCGAAGTGATAGTAGATCACGTAATTGAAAAAGAAGCAGCCACACAACGCCTTGGCCCCAGCCTCAGAATGCCCACGCATGTGAAGAATCAATAAGTGTGAGAAATTTACACACAGGCATGAATGACATATGTCAATGACATATCGCTTGGTGCAAACCAAGAAGAAACAGGAATGGGTGCTAAAAATAATCAAATAAGTATAAGAACCAAAGAATGACTGAAGCTGGTCAATCTATAATAGAACTGAAAAATTCTCACGACCCACCCTACCCACTCCAACAGATCCAGGATGTAGGTGAGATTTTTCCGAGTCATGTGATCAATCGATCTCCGATTTTATCTCGGAATCACGTAACCATGTTAGCTCTTTTCTGTTACACAAATTAACATAACAAAAATAAATATACAGATCTTTTTTTTTTAACCAACCTTTTTTTTTTTAACATCGCCATTCGTCGTTGGTGTTGTCACCTTTTTTCACTGTTAGTATTATCTTTGGCTTTATTCTTGGTTTCTATTGTAATTTCATTACGTCTTTGTTTTTTTTTATACTGCCATT